ACTAAAGATTTCAATAAATTGAACATAATTACATTTTATCTTTAACATGCTAAATATATTTACATATTAAAACTTAGCAAATAAGAAGCAGATTGTGATAAGAAGAAGAAAATCAATTACTTATTTACGTCTGTTTAATTGTTGTTTCAGTTTATCTATGAAACGATCATCTGTTTTGTCATGTAAAATTAAAAAAATTACTTATTTTGCAGTACGTTACCAATAAGATGTGTTTTATTGGGCACATCTGTTGTTTTTAATTTTGCACCACGTATGAGATAATCTTTTGAAGTATTTCAACAAGAAAATCATACTCCCAAAATTTCAATTTTATATCAACATATTACGTAAATTATTTCCCACTAAAAAGTTTGCATAGAATATAAATTCCCACAAATCCCGGGATCGAAAACAATATTTTTAATCTCCCACACCTACTACATACACACAACACTATCATGTTTATCACCCAAACTGAGATATCAAGTTTCAAAAAACCTACCCTCCCCCCCAAATATTCGTCGCACATATGTAACTCGATAGTTCGTCCCGTCGGTTCACACGCCTCGCACGCTTCCCCCCCCAACACTAATCGTTCATAACAAGTTGTTGACTCTGTAGTCTTACAACACGCGTGCACGCGTCGATTGTTATCAATAAAGTTGTAAACAAGCGAACAAATCGGTTCACAAAGTAACTCGATATGCGATAATGTGAGAAAGTGCATTGAAGGGGCCTTTGAAGTTTGTGTAAACAACCGGTGAAAATCGGTTCACATAGTAACTTAATATTGTGAGAACTTTGTGAGAACTTTATATTGTTGATTCTCGTTTGAATTTTGTGTGTTTGGAAATTTTTAACTACCTTAAAAAGCGCACAATGAGATACAAAATAATAGGGTGAATCAGACCACCCGTGCACAACGGTTTGGTCCATCAAACGTTAAATGGACAATTTTTATTGAAAATCCACCATTTAAAATTTTCTAGTGGGTTATAATTTTAAAATTTTACTTTAGGTTAATCTCTTTCAATGTTGGGATCGTTTAAAGTACAAATATATGTCCAAAAAGTAATTAAAAAAATTAAAACTCCTTTGAAAATCCAAGACATTTTACAAATTTTAGAAGTAAAGCGTTTTTTGAAGGTGAAGAAGTGCATTTGAAAAACGTAAAAGGGTGTCTTCTTTCAAATCTTTGCTAGTTTTCGAGCTATAGCCGTTCAAAAAGCCTGTTTTTTTTTCTCGAAAAAAAGGTATTCAAGGAAATTTTTCTAGAGGGAATTGCAATTAGAAAATATAACTTATTTGGATTTTCTGGGTGGTTTAAGACCTCCACAAAAAATGGTAAGTGAGTTACAACAAGCGGCTGTATATCCCAACTAGGTGCACGGGTGGTCTGATTCATCCCGTATTTATAATTTATAATTTACGCTACTACTTCAAAGCACTAAACAGCCCTTGTGACATTAGCACTGGTACGGGCGCGAGGGCAGAACCGATGGGTTTTCTACCACTTGAACCCCGGCCATGGGAGACGGGGGACTTCGCCCCACTGGACATTGCAGCTGCCACAGTTCACGGAGAGTTAGCAGATTATGATGTCACACGTGGATGTAACGCCTCTCGTGTACACGCGTCACGATTTTCAACGGATGTCGTTCTTGTTGTGGGATAATCTCATTGTTAACCGTGAAATAATTGTGTGAGAAGTCAGAAGAGGAGTCTTTACTGTATTTTCTTCAAAGATGTATTCATGATATGTTTATAATAGAACCATAGGTCAAGTCTAACTGTTAAGGCAGGGGGGAAATAGAAAACTTGATGCAGAATAGATACATTTGATAAGAAATAAACACAATTAATGCAACTCAAAATATCTAGATGTACTTGCAAGCATGGTATTTCGTAGTTTAATAAAATGTTGGTATGTATTTAAATTTAAACTTGAAGTTTTGTGGCATACAATAAAACCTATTCAAGGTAAAGTTATATGTACGTTCACCACATTAAAAAGCACATAGCAAAAACTATAACATAGCCTAATTAATCAAGGCTGTTAATTCACAAACCGATTTATGAAGTATTTATTTAACTTGAAATTTATTGCTTGTAAATCAAAGCATTAATTGAATACTCGAGGTTTTCGGTAGATTTAAGACTATATTTTAAAGTTGAACAAAATATTGATAGATTTATACGGATTTGGTAGATTAAGTTTTACTATTTTATGACAGGTAATAAAAGGACAGTCGATCGCTCGATGCAGAATATACTCATATATAAATTACCACGTGTAAAATATGCACATTAATAATAAAAACAACAACCTGTTACAATTTATTACCCATGCTAGATTTACGAGCAAGTTTTCAATTTGAAGACAATTTCCATAGGTTTATATCGGTTTTATAGGTTATGTTTTCTGTTTTATGGCGCGTAATAAAACCAACAATCGAACGTAGCAAGCGTGTACGATGTGGTGACACTTCGTCTGCTAGCAGAGTCTTAAATCAGCAACTCCCCCGGGGGTGGCGAGGGGGTGCGCGACTCCCTCCAAAACGACAAAATGGCGACCGCGCTCCCGGTCACTTTTGGTGGGAAAACATCTTGTGCTGCTTCAGGTGTTGCGTCGATTTGCCGTGTTATTTTACTAGAGCTGTATATAAAATGTTAGTGCACTTTAAAGTCTACTTAATTCATTGAAGGGGATTTGTATGGGTTTAGGATGTAAAATGCATGTTTTTGTTAACGAATTTTAGTTTAATTATTCGAAATTTTTATAGATTTTGGACTTTATTAAAAGCTGTGAAATGTAACGTAAGCCATGCTTGTGACTTTCTTGAACGGTTGAATTTAAAATCTATATTTGTAAGAAAGTCAAACTAATTTTTTATTGAAGCTTTTTTAGTCCAGCCGTACTATTTTATAGAAGTTATTAAAACATCACAAGAACCTTATTATCATTTTGGAAGTACACATTATTGTGCTGAAAACGTCTTGGGTACCATGAACAATTCTTTTACTTCTTTTTAAAGACAGATTCTTCCCATGATCATGAATGAAACATACAAATTGCATTGTATATTGGGTTAAATAATGTAACATCGTGTGTAGAACTCAATCATCAATTTTACATACTTATTATCTATCAAAGTATGATTAGCTCAAAGAGAGAAATGTATTTCAAATTATGATATGTTACAACTAAAGCATTTTAAAATAAGAACCTGGTTAAAGCTCGTTTTATCAATGAGGGACTTGCTGTCTAGCTAAGTAAAAGAGATACTTTAGGGTCAATATTAGTGATTGAATACAATAGTAAATTAAGTACAGTAATTTAACATTACAATTCATATTCCTAACGAAACCTTTTCTGTAAAGATAATGTTAAAACTCCACCACGATAGAATCGATTCCTCCAAACGCGTAGCTGCAATGAACGTAAAAAATTCATCGCCATCAATTAAAAAACGGATGATTGAAATTTCCAACTCGCAACACATTTCTATCGGGGCTAATAAAAAAGCTGGAACGCGCTCAATTTGGGAGCGGAGCGTAAAAAACGTCATCAATTGGGCGGCCGCAGCGACAGCCATATGGAATATTTGATAAACTCTTGAAATTGCCGGGTTCTGCAATTTTTCATATGACAAAGGGCAGTGTGAGACAATTACTTTGTTCAATTACTACCCTTGCGTCGTGTGTGTGTTGGTGTGTGTGTATATCCGCGAATTACGGGGCCATAGCAATTCACGGAGCCTTACACAGAGGGCGTGTGCGGGCGCCATTTTACCAAACACACAGCCACCTGATTAAAAACAATACGGCGCCCTCGACTTGAACAAATACGGGCTGCAAAACTCGTAAATGATTTGGGGGAAGATTTTGATGTCGCGGGAACGTACAAGTGAATGGTAACAATTATTTTGAAGAGTTAACTTTTTCTGATTAGAAAAAAGGTCTGTGTTTGTAAGAGTTTTTAAATGATGAGAAAATACACGAGTAGTGTTAGTGATCCGTTATTATTGACTTTGGATAGTGGACTATCTAATTCCAACATTTGAAGTTTTTATGGGTGTTTCATATTGGTGACGTATGGGTGCGCTGATGTACAGTGAATGTTTATCTCTTATTTTAATGTGTATTTTAAACTTGTACTTTGCTTTTTTGGTAAATTTAAAGTAGGTTCATTAACAGTATCACCATGAGATTGGACTATACCTACCACTATTTACAGCAACGGACTCAAAACCATTGACTATTGAATACTGTCAAAGCTCAAACCTAATGGCATCATAAACATAAACTCTATCAACACCACTGACTCACGAAATTCACCATACCATTAGGGACGAGAATCGATAGCCGATGTTACAGAAACATCGACGTTTTTCTACCGATATTCGATGTTTATGTGTTTGTTGGATTGATGTTTTCGTCGATGTTTTTGGCCAATTATAGAAAGATCAATGTTTTTTCCTTGACTGCATTTATGTACCTAAACAATAATTGAAAAAATGATGAAGTATAGGATCCAGAAACAAACTTTTAACTGGATTATACTTTGAAAAGAATAGAGTAAGGTAACTATCTACATTGTTGATGTGCTTATCCTAAATGCTGAAAAAATCAATTCATTTGGACATTTGGCAGAAGCACTCCTACTATATAATTAACAAACACCGAAATTTCGTCTTGCAATTTGGAAGATAAACTGCCAATCTAGAACGACGTGCTAGTAGCTAGGTAGGTAAATTAGCTAAGGCATAAAGCAGACGAGAGTAAACAAAATATGTATGGTTTTTCATTGAAAATATGTTTTCGTGACTATATTATCGATACATCAATAGTTGACCAAACGCAGTTCATCCCTTCCCAATATACACGTTTGAAATAGCCAATGAGGCAATTTAATCACGAACTACTTTTTGTTTAATCAGTCTACAAAAAATGCTGTAAATAATTAAACACAATAAAAAAAAAACACTCAATAGCCTTACCTGAACTCTAGCTTCTGTTAGGTCAATCTTCATGGCTATTTCTTCTCTCGTATAGATATCAGGATAATGTGTTTCTTGAAAGGCTCTCTCCAGTTCCTTGAGCTGTGCTGATGTAAACGTCGTCCTGATTCTTCTTTGCTTCCTTTTCTCTGTTAGAACACCGTCATGTCCTGGATAGACCTTGTACGGCAGTCCTCCTGGAACAAGAATACATAAGGGTAGCTTTAGAAACCTTTTTGGATATCCTGAAAAACGGGAAACAAAAGTGCATAGAACATTTGATCCAGTTTTGAGTACCGGTAGGTAAATTTTCCCTAGATTAAATGTACTAAGTACAATGTACTTTATCCTCTGGTACACATGGCGGGCTATCTCCAATTGTATTTCTAGCTCAGTGTCCAAAGGAGACACATCAGTAAAAGTTTTAAGGTTGGTACCCAAGGTTCCATATTTCGACTTAACTCAATCAGGGATCCCAAAGCATTGCTAATCTACCCTTCAAAGATCCATCTAGAAAAGATTATTTTGACATGTCTTACAATTGGCATCACACTGTACTTTTACTCGTTTTTGCTATTGCGAATTATATTCGTATTGACTGTCTACTGGGTTGATAGGTCTTGATTACTTTAATTTAATCTGGAATCCCCTAAGACCCATCGTTATGTACAGCTTCAATGAATTATTAAGTGTACTAAGTTAAACCAGTGTCATTTGCTTACTAAATTAGATATTTCAGCTTTATATCGGAAAGCCAATTTTTGTTCCACAAAGAACACCGTTGAAAATGCTTTCACAGAATTTGCTCATGGTTTTAGAAAATTATATATTATTTAGTATTCAATACTATCATAATCGAAGGGACACAGAAGATGCTTTAGTCAACTACCAATTGACTTTTCAGATTACTATAGTTGAAAAGAAGATGTATGAGAAAAATTGACCAAACACACTCAATCGGAGTCTTAGAAAAAATTGGCAACACCTGTATGAAGGAACATGTCTTCTGAACTTTCTAACTGGGCCTGGGGCTTTAAACCATCGGCCAGTCCTCAGGTAGGTGGTCAGAAGACAGGTTCCACCATACAGACTATAGAATATAGGAATACTTTATTTCAATATAAAAAGTTATCGGTACAAATATTCAAAGAATGTAGTTAAGTTTTTCGTAATTATTAGGGTGAATGCACCTCTCATTTATAAATGAACATTATGCAACCCCCAAACGCTCGATGAATATTTTTTTCAATTTTCTATGTTAATTTATGTTCTTTATTAAAATAAATATCTGCTGTGATATTGCCAGTTATCTACTTTGAACCAAATCCCTTCGAGCCTCATGTCCAGTCTTACGGGTTGCGACATCACGTAGCAGAGTTAGGGGCGCAAACTGCAAATAAACCTTCTCGAGAGAGACAGAAGGGGGAAGAGAGAGAGAGAGAGAGAGAGAGAGAAGAGGGGGGGGGTTGGATTGGCCGCTGCGAGATGGAGGGTAAACCCAAGGAGGGCGGACACATAAGGGATGACAAGTTCGAAGGATCGATACGGAGGAAAATGGCGGCCATCCTCAAGACAAGACATCTCCGTCTGTCTCGGTCTGCCAGCTGTTGCGACACAGGGATGCCAACATCCGCTTTGTGATCTATTGCCAACCTAACAGAACTAATATTCAACTCCGTCGATATACTATAGGGGATTCGTGTTCGATGAGGGAAAAAGGTGATGTATGGAGGGTTTGTGGAAATCTGCAGATGTAACTGCGTTTTGTGATCGTTATAGTTGTTGTCAATTATTTTTTAATATTTAACCAATTATTTATTCATGTAAATTTATAGGTTGGCGATCTGTCTTGTTGTCGACCTTTAAATAATTTCATTGTATATGAAAATTATTTTATTTATTATGAAGTATAGATTTACTCATTGGCAATTGTATTATATTATACGTTCAACTGTAGATAATAATGCTTCTTTCATAGAAGCAATATGTTCCAATTTAAATATAGAATAAAATTGGCGAAATATTATCAGATTCTGTCCGAAGTAACTAGTCCAGTCTCCACAGTAAGGTATGGGTCCAAAACTAGAACTTTTCATCTTTTGAATGTTTTAAAGCCTTGAAAACGTTCATACAAATCGTTATACATCTCCTCAGCACAATCATCAAAATCATACAATTTTTAAAAAACTTGATGAAATGTGTAAACCTTCATATTTTATAACAAATTCCTTTACACTATACTCCACAACCAATTTTCACATACTATACAACTATGAACTTACAACCAACACTTGTAACGCTCACTTAACAACATTTCCAGCGAGTACCAACCCATTAGAGAGAAAGGTTGGAAGGCGAATTAAGACGACAAAAGCGCGGGTATTTTCGTAATAAAAGAAAGTGGATTGGAGCGGTGTCCGGTGGTGTTCCCTCCTTAATGGCAGCAGACGCACATACTTCTCGGTCCAGCGTCTGTTTGTCCCTACACTTGTATTAATTGGACGACCATCGAAGAAAAACACCAGAGAAGAGCTTCTAATCCACGCAATTCTCTGTGTTGTTGTAAACGGTTATGTGACGTTTAACGTTGAGAACGTACTTTCATATGGAGTTTTTTCCATAAGGAGTTTGTCATGAATGCCATGGTTCGTATGTTCAAAAATAAAAACTCATTAAATTTATGAAATCATAATTAATTTGTGTGAAGTACTGCAATAGCTTCAGAAAGGGTAGAACTTTTCTAAAATTACAAATCCTTATATAAAAATAATAATATATATAAAAAAACATTTCTTTAGAAATTTCCTAAAATATCCAATACAGTAAACATTTGGCGTTAAAGTCTTCTCGGAAAATTAATACTTCAATTCAACCATGGGAAACCTTTGGTAGTTAAAATGAGAGCTATAAAAATAGTCAAGGGTTCGTAAGAAGAAAAAAACAATCCTTCACCATTTTTATTAACTGTTTGTTTTTTCTTTCAACAAAATCAATAGCTTAAACTTATATTACTCAAAAACTAAAATACAAGACTTGCTATCCAAAAACTCTTTCAAGAGTTTGTATGAAGAAGAAAAAAAGTCCCACAATATTTCTATTGACTAGTTTATTTTCATCATCATTATTTGAGATGGCAAAGAAGCTGTGAAGTAAAACTAAAATTTCTTAAAATCTAAATTAAAATCTTGTAAGGAATAAAACATAGGTGTGAGTTTTCACTAGTGATAGAAACAGACATCCCAATCTTATGCTATTTTAGAATGAAAATAGAGTTAGTTTAATTTTACCAACTACAAAGTGCGATAATTTCAATGACCAATACCAACGTCTTTGAACGAAGTAAATTCTAAAGGTAAACTCGAGACATGTTTTTTAGCTTAAGCTCACATAAAATATTATCATACCAAAAACTAAAGAAATCCCCGAACCTGTAACTCAATCAATTTTGTTATCTTAATCTATTTATTACGTCCACATCTTGTCCATATAGATATGGTGTCTACATGAAAGTCTACACAAGTTAGAGAGTATCAGGGGACTGTGTATCTGATAGACACATGTCTCGGTATCTGACAGTGTCTTACATGAGACTACATTATACAACCGAGGAGGAAGTTCTATTGAGGTCCCTGAGGCATATTGGTTGGGGTTGAGATACTATCTGATAGACAATTACAGTGACAATGCCTTTAGTAACGAACCATCGGTATGACTTAAATTATTGTATTAAAATTCCTTTAGTTGAACCGTTTAAACCACTTTAACAGTAGACATGTTGAAAATAGATTTTGTAATGTTTCGCTTACAATGTCTTAACCTTGTCTTTGTAGTTTTAAACTATTTCTTCGTTTATTTGGATTTTGAACTATTATTAGTCTTGAAGTGTCTGTTGATAACTCTATAGTTGGATAAAGATTTTGTAATGTTTCGAATACAATGTCTTAACTTTGTCTTTGTAATTTTGAAAGATTTCTTCGTTTATATCTTGAACTATTATGATTCTTGAGTTGTCTGTTGATAGCTCTATAGTTGGATAACGATTTTGGAATGTTTCGATTACAATGTCTTGACTTTGTCTTTGCGATATTGAACAAAATATTTCCTCATTTATTTGATTTTTTAACTACAGTATTATCAGTCTGAAGAGTCTGTTAGTTAGTTTAGTGTTGAACGACAATAATATGTTCACAACTTCTTTATATTCTTTTAATTTCTTTTATAAAACAAAATAAAAAAAATACTAAACTCTTGGAGCATAGTTTGAGCTGTTTGACGGTAATTGGGTGATCAATTAAGACTTACATGATAACACATGTTTAATAGTGGTGCCATAAAATTATCAAACAATTATGCTCTCTTTAGAAAAAGAAACTTGAAAAGGCTGGTCAATAAAAAATTGCAACTTTCTTCAGTATCAAAGGTCAGTATTATTTTTAACAGCAAAATAACATTTAATTAGAATTTAGACAGTATTTAGCTTATACAAAATATCAGAATAACTAACTTCTGCGTTACTGCGATCACAGAAACACCAATAAAACATTTTTATACAATCACAAATTTGTTAACTTCTTTTTCCTAAATGTATTTAAAAAGGCTATTAAAGTATCATTGTTCACAATTGAAAAAGACTCAAATCATTAAAAAAAAACAGTAAATCTACCGTCCCAAACAGCCAAGAGTATAGGAAGCTTATGCGGTTGCCATACATATATAATGTTGAACCAAGATAATTAGCCACAGTCACCTTAGAAACCACAACCCCCTTCCGTACCCCCCCCCCCAATTACGCCCCCCCCCCGGAGAAGCTGACCGCTACGTTAGGGAGATTTGTAAATGATGCACAAAGTGTTTTGGGGCGTGTGGGATGCTGAATGCCTATTTGCGTCCAGATATATTTAAGCCCAAGGATACTCAAGGTTTATACATTGGTTTCGAAACACGGAGTTTCAAGGATGGTTTTAAATGACAGTGATTAATGGTGCATTTTTGGGCGGTAAAAACTGTTGGTGTTAAATACCCCCACCGCAGCAAACCTTCATACTAATTTAAATTTGTCTGACTGGATTTTTGCTCAAATATTTCTACAAAGATGCCATGGAACATTCCAGATTCAAATAACATTGGATTCAAAGAGTACTTAGGTTTGCTGCTACAGGAAAAAGTGTGATAAAATTTTAACAGTATACGATCAAAT